GCAGGGCCCGAGGCGCAGCCGAGGTTTAGTGTATACTACGTGTTAAATCTTTGTTTTTGGCTTGAAACTAAACGGCAGCCTCTCGTCGCGTGCATTACTTGAACCTTCACGCTTTGTCGAAGGGCACTAAATTGAATGTCGGCTGGACGTCGTTGTCGGTCTAGTTGAGCGCGTTGAGCTTCCGTGCTGTCTTCTACTGATATGAATGCTCGTGATGCGCTTCCGACGTAGCTTCGAGCTTGGTGGTACACGCATGGTACTCGCCTAATATTTGTAATATTTGCGAGTCGAGCTCGACGGGACAGCCCTGGGTTAGTGGAGTAGCCGTCGCTTTGCGCGCGCCCGCGCGAATTGTGCCCACATCACACCGTAGATCGTGGTGCCAGTGCTTGGTTTGCCAGTGCCGCCGGTCCCATGCAACATTCGGCCCTGGCTCGCGAAGACGACGCCGCCTCGTTGCGTCGCGCAGGAGCCGTTGACAGAAGGACGTCCAGTCGCTCCAGCGCGAGATAGCGCGCTTCAACTCCATCGACACCGCCGACGAGGCACACTGGCTGGTAGAAGAATACCATTCACGAATGCTCACGCGTGTATGGACCAGTCTGCGTGGGCACTGTGAGCTGGGTCGCATCATGCAGTATGCAGTTCTAAAAGACTGTCGTCCAGGTATGGCTCTACCAAGAGAATAGCAATTTCGACGAGGCGCTCGGTCACGCTAAATTACGTCAGGAAGTTGCGAGTCGAGTGATCTGCGTTTGGAATGGGCCCTCGGGAGCACGGCAACGTCACCATGTCTCTCGGGCGACGCTTCGTGCAGTCTATGGGACCTTTGTATGGCTGGCCGTCGCACGCTTGGGACCCGTCGAGCCTCTCTCTGCAAGGCACTCTACTTCATCGCCAACGGGCTTCTCGACGTATACGCCAAAGGTCTCGTCCACGGGTCTCTCTCGAGCCACAATGTGTTTGTCAGTTCGCCCACGTTCATCCAAGTCGGTGTCCCCGGGACGTCGGAGACTGACGAAGCGCTGCTGGCGTGGACGGCCACGAGGTGCTTGCAGGCGACTCGCCGCCGCCGTCGTCGCGTCGGACGTCTATGCGTTTGGTATTCTCACGTCGGAGCTCAACGCGTTCCAGCTGCCGTTTGACGACTACGATTTCGATGACGAAGTTGCGCTCACGACCGCCGTTGTCGATGGCGGCTTGCGCCCAACACTGCGTGAGAAGCGCGACGACTGGTACCGAGACCTCGTCGGTCGTTGCGTCGATGCCGACCCGCTCAATCGCCCGACAGCACAAGACGCCTTGTTATGGTGCAGCTGCTCCATAGCTTTTGTCACTTGAAAGTTGTGTGTGTGTTTCACGTCCCGGGCAGTCCTGGCCCAGTGGTCCTAGCCACTTTTTATGCGAACAAAGTGATAAACTGGGTCGTTGAGCGTGGCATCAAGGGCAAGCAGCGTCTTATTTAACCCTTGGACCCTTGGCATCTCGAAACGGGTGCACGATATCTGCGCCATGTCTGATTCGATTGCGCGTGGACGTAGATGGTTTTCGGCGTGAGCCTCTGGTTGAAGCGGTATATGGTGCGCTGCAGTTTCCGGGCATTGAAGTCCATTCTGTAGAACACTTTACGTCTGCAAGACGAGGACGTTGTATGAAATGGCAGGTTGGAGTATCTCATCTGTCAACGACCATCACTCGCGCATCGGGTCCATCTGTTGCGTTCGGACAAAGACGACGTCGTTGATTGTGGTGACTGCCAGCGCAGTGTTCAACACATTTGCATTGTAGCATGAGGGACGACAAGGACACTTACACTATATTCTCTTTTGCCGGCGACGCCGAGGTACCGCACTGCTGTCTGCGCAAGCCGGACGTTGAGCGCCATCCCCATGCGCAAATCGGTGACCTCGCCATTACCGCGTGGCCGCTCTCGACCGAGATCGTCGCGGCGCTCGCGACCAAATACTCGACTCACGTGCCGGCCGACGACGTTATCCTCCACGACTTCTACGACACGACTTCCGATGTCATTGCTGATTCCGACATCCTCGGCAAGCTGGAAAATGGAGGAGACTATTGCGAACTGCTTTTCGACATGACGCTGGCGCATTTTGCAATCGACTTGACCGGCGACGCGTCGACGTTGACGCCGACAACGGAGCCACCGCCTGGTACCTTTGCTACGGTCGTCTACTTTTTTCCGTCCACCTGCGTCGGCGGCGCCGTCATGATCTCGCACGGCCACCGGACGACGACATTCGAGGCCCTCGATGGATGCTTTCTCTCGTTCTACAGCGTGTGTGATGTGACGGTGGCGCCCATCACGTCGGGACACCGGTCTTGTCTTGTGTATCATGCCGCGTACGACCTCGACGACTACGACTCGGACGACTGTAACGCGTCCATGCTACAGTACGCGCCGCCACTGCTGCCGTCGATCCAAGAGCTCCAGGACGCCGCTCGCCGCTTCGAAACATTGGGGGCCAGAGGCACGTCGATTGCGTTTGAGGCGCACAGCTTGACGTTTGATTCGCTCACGGGTCGTGACAAGGCGGTCGTCGATCTGCTCCTTGCGGCCGACGTCTTTGACATTGCGCTTGTGCACGTGGTTGGTGACAACAACAGCGAGAAGACGCACGCCAGCCCGACGCTGACCGTAACGTTTCATCCATTGTGCAATACGCCGGCGCTCGTTCAAAACGCGTGTCGCGCCACGTCGCTGACCGACCTTGCAGGTCTGTTCCTCGATGAGCTGCCCGCTTGTTTGTTGCTCTTATGGCCCAAGGCGAACCGCGTGTACATGTTGGGCTACGACCGCACGATTGCGCTCTTGCGCGCCAACAGCGTCGGGGACGTCAGCAACGACCTCGGCTACGGATCGCTCCGCCGCCTTTTTCAAGCGGCCATTCATGACTTTTTTCTGCATCACCGAACCCAGCTTGGCGCCAAGTGTGACACACCACAAAGTACGTATCCGATGGCGTCCTTGCTCTACGATCACGGCGACGTGGGGCTCCTCGTGGAGCTCCTGGACGCTCACGATGCCTGGGCCGACGACGCCACCATGGCAAATTGGCTTCTCGCGGTGCTCCGACGCTTTGGCGCGGCCCGTTTTCTGCACCGGCTTCAAGCAACCAATGTCACGAGCACTTTTGTCGCACATTTGGTGCATCTTGCAACGGCCGGGGACACGCTCGCGCAGACGACCTTGTGTGACTGCCTCCCGCTGTGGTGGCCTCGCTTGCTCCGCGACCTCACGACAAACGCTTGTGCCAAGAAAGCAGAGCTGCACCGCTTCTATGACGTGGAGACGTACATGCTGACGTACCCCATGGGTGTGGCTGCATCGGCGTACTTGGGCCGCCACTTGGCCGATGATCTCGTGTGCAATGTGGCCACCTACCTCGTCGAGCCACACGTGTCGCTGCTCGATGCGATACAAGAAAGCCAACGATATAACGATTGCCTCACTGGCTACCTCCCGGTCGTTCTGTGGCAGCGTCGGGCGGCACCATGCAACGTGCGCTTCGCATCGTACATGGCGGTCGCCACCGAGTATTGGTGTTTGCCCGGAGAGCCCCCTCGCTGCTTGAAGGGTTGTGTAGTGTATTTGGCGCTGCTGACAGTTGGGACGCCAGCCTTTGCTGCAGTGGACAAGGAAGTGCAAACGTGTCGGGACTGCGACATATTCCAGCAAGAGTGCGCGGCCATCGACAAGTCGACGTTGAGCTCGATGCAGGCGCTCGTCTTGGAAGAGTACATGCAACGTCGTCCTTAGTAGCGGTGCTGGACAAACGAAGCGTCGGCTGTTGCTGGCAATGTAATACACACTAGTGCGCTGTACTGTGCCGACGCATGGCTTGGGCGCTTGTTTATTTAGCAAGAGTATCGCATGCGAGTCCTCTGCACCGCTACCCGGGTACCACTGCTGTGCAAAAGTCTTTCGTGCACTACGGTGTGATTGCTGCCAAAGCGATGGGCTCTGACATTGTCATATGAGTTCTTATCCAGTGGCGCCTCTGTGAGCGCCAGTACTAGTAGTAGCTGGTCGACAACGTGTACTCGCTGGATCGCGCGTTTGCTGTGCTTCGTGGTCTGGTCTCCGCACCGATCCGAAGGGCTGCTTTGATGTCCAGTCGCAAGGGTGTTTGAAAGAATGCGTAGACGTAGCGACGCCACGCCAAACTCAGCCAAGAGCGGCAGCTGAAAGGAACAAACAGCACAGCTCCAACGTCAGAGCCAACTGCGACAGCAAACTCGTAGATGAAACTCTCAGGAAAGCGATTAGGAAGCGCGCTGGCCAGTTGAACGTGCCGATAGCTGCGAGACCCAATCTGCGATCGATGAGCTACCGGTACAGGTTTCATGGAACAACTGCATAGCACTGTTATACGTGGCACACGGCGTACTGGCAACTCGTTTCGACCGATAGCGACGAGACCAGAGTCGCGTTTCGGTAGTCTGCTCTAGTACGACGACCGACAGTTAATCGGACCAAAAGTCCCTTTAAAATGCGTTTTGAAAAATCGAACTTAATAACAGAAGAAGAAAATAATCGCGCTCCAATTCGTTTATAGCTATGCGACTCAAAACGCATGACCAACATTCCTTCAGCTCGAGAAAGGTCACGAGGAGGCATTGGGCATGGGGCACCTAAGATTTGCCCGCGTTACGCCATCGTCGAGCTTGCTCCCGGCCGTCAATCAAGCGGTGGTCGTACGAGAGCGAGATGTACATCATCGGGCGCGACACGACCTCTTCCGTGCAACTCCTCGTTGGCGTTTTCACACAATTCCCGTACAGTCCAACCGCGGCATAGCTCGGGTTCCTGTGCCAGTCTTTCGTCGAGCAGTGCGTACTTCCATTACTCCCACCAACGCCACGATGTGCTCCAATCGCAACGACAGCGTCGACATCAACTACAGCAGTAGTCTTGTGGAGCAGTATAGTATCCCTGGCAATCGAATCCTATCCACGCTATCGTGGCGTCGTCAAGGCTGCGCAATGAGGCTAGATGCCTCTGGACTGGAGCGGCATCCAGCCTTCTTGACCAGTCTTTCGACATGTGCGATACCGTGCACGATCCACTTCGCACAAGCACGCTCAACGCATCGGCACAGGTCGTACCCCGCTTGGTTGCTTGAGCGAGCTTTACTCGTTCTATCGCTCCAGATGTCATATACAGGTTCTTATACTAGTTACATGCGCACTCTAGATTCCCATGATGCTAGCAGCTCAAGGACGTACCACGTTCTGCGAATCAAGACCCGGATGTGGCTCACAGTCACAGCACTACTGCCCACGATACGTGTCCTAGAGTAGTTGATGTATTAGCGTTGCCGAGTGTACTTTTGCGAGAACTTGCGCATCGAAATCTCTTTCTTACGGCAAAAATGCAACAGGATTCGTTTGCCCCACCAAGCTGCAATAATGGCGGTGGCTGCCCAAGACTACCATATTATCCCTCTGAGTTTGTTGCTTGGTCCACTACAAGACCGCGAGCTGGTGGTTAAGTTTGCGGGCACTCGGCGCCTCGTCGTGACGGTTGCCATTTCGACATTGCGCTCTTGCTATAGGCGTAGAAAGAAAACGTCTATGTGCGTACGCGCATGCGACTCGCTCTCTAGGTCGCATGCTGATACCATACAGGAAGAGCTCATGTGCGGCCGAGGTCGTCCAGCAGCTTGTGATTTGGCGCCATCATCCAGGGTATTGAAGTTGAGAGGCGTTGAAAAGAGCCAATTTCGTGGTTATTTGAGCGCTTACACCGACGCATTTTGGTCAAATCGCTTCAGCTGGTTTGGCAGAGTCTCACGAGCCCCTGACCTGAACCGATCCGGAAAAGCTCGCATGGCGATCTTTTACAGAGCAAAGTGTTCCACGCCAATGATGCAGCGTGGAAGAGTCTCGAAGCCGCGTCAAGGCTGCCCTCGATGCGCACACCATTCGTCTATTCATAGTAGTGAGGCGACCAAGCGGAGCCAGCCCCGCATTCTCGAAGTTGGCTGCTGACGAGCACGAGCAATAAGCTCAACCTGGATGCTGTTGGACGCATCAGAAGAGAAACCAATGGCCTTTTGGCTAAAACAAGATGAACGAATCTCATTAAATAGCTGTGATGCTGATTGTCACTACCCGTTGAACCACCGTGTGTGTCATCGAGACCATCTACCTACTAGAACTGTACATGCTTGGGGCCGTGCATGGTCGAGTGGTCTGCCCAAGGAATCTGTTAAAATGGAAGATTATTGCCTCGGACAAGTCCCAGTCAACGCAGGTTCAGTGTGTCGCTTTGGACGCCGGTTCTAGACGGACTGCCTACAGCGGCTGTGAGCCTATGCTGTACAAAGCGTGTGCAAGGACTTGTGCGGTTGCTGCCTTGAGACGCAACGCATGGATACTACATCACCGCCATCCAACGCACGCTTTGTACATTGATTCGCTTGCACCCACGGCCTTTTGGCTAAGACACGAGGGCATCTTTATGCTACGACCTGGGCAACAGCCTGGTACGATCGACGAGTTCTCCTTGGAATCCTCGGTCGGCCTTTCTGTAGTATCCGGATACGGGTGGCCGTGCGCCAAATCCATCGGTTGCGATCGATCGCTTCCGCAAAAGCCAACATGAATTCGCATGGCCAAGTAGGTACTGCTTTAGTGGAAAAGGCCAAGCGAGGACTTTGCGTGGGAAATGTATTTTTCACATCAGCGACACGGTGAGAACCACGCGCCATCTGGTGCTATTTTCTAAAATGTGTATCTTGTTTTTTGTATTGAAGCAAAGATAACGCGTCCGATTAGCAGAACGATATAATAAGGTGCGGGTTTTGGCGCACTAGATCGGGCCGCATCTAAAAAAGACACTTGAAAACGACTCTATTCGCACTTAATATGTCGACACGCTGCCCCCCTACAGCACGGGATCTGCACCATCCGTCTCGAAAAAAGCACGCAGTGCTTTTTTCGTAGGGGTGGTGAAATTAGGATTCCAGCTGGAGATCATACCTTCTCGGCCTTTTGGCTAAGATCAAGTGTAGTATCTGTTCTAATCAGTGTGAAAACTGATTTCCACACTTCGGTGTGGTTTTTTTTCACATTCATTTTTACAAACTCCGATAGTCCAGTTGGCTTGCCACTGACTATTGGACTGGTTTCCGAGGGCCCAGCACTCCTCCCTTGTGAAGCCTAACTACTACACTCGTCTCTCATTTTACACTCTACATTTTCTCTACATTTTTTCACAATCCACACTCCTCCAGCGCGAAGCGCT